TATACTTTCCAAGTCTTGTGCCAGCTTTTGCAGGCTCTCCCCTTTAGCAAGGACTCTAGTCCTGAACCTAGCCCTGTACACTTCGGACTGATTTTGGGTTCCATACCTGAGTTCTAGAGCAACTACGAGTGCTCTATAGTTCTGCCTGTCGTCTGCTGACAACTGTCCAAGTATTTCCAGTGGTTGTCCCTTCAAGCTCGTTGCCAGATATACTGCTTTCTGCTCCTCTGTCCATCCGTTCATCTCTGCCAGTAGCTCAAATTGTGCTCTATACGCTTCCCACGGTGCCTTCCCATCGAATTCATGTGGCTTCCTTCGTACTAGATCACCCCTATTGCTGACACTCGTGTCTGGAATGTGACTTCTAGAAGGACTGAAGATGTCTGCATTAGGGTTTAGCTGCGGAGTCTGGAAGGGGCTTCCCGTTACCTGAGACTGATTAGGTCGATGGCTAATATATCCTCCTTATGTAAAAGACAGTAAATCATTCTTTAATGTATTTAATTCACTTTGAAATTTACTAATGTTTTCCATTTGTGTACTTTGGCTTTCTTTCAACTGTTGGAGACTTTATTCTTGTTTATTTTCTTTATCTCCAACCACTGCTGTAGTCTCTTTTCTTGTTTATTTTCTTTCTCCTCCAACCACTGCTATAGTCTCGTTTCTTGTTTATTTTCTCGTTCTTCTTGTTTCTTTTCTTTTTCCTCCAACAACTGCTGTAATCTCTCTTCTTGTTTATTTTCTAGTTCTTCTTGTTTCTTTTCTAGTTCTTCTTGTTTCTTTTCTTTTTCCTCCAACAGCTGCTGTAATCTCTCTTCTTGTTTTTTTCTTTATCCTCCAACAACTGCTGTAATCTCTCTTCTTGTTTCCTTTGCTGTTCTTGTATTGCTGCCATCAAATATGCTAAGCTGTAGTTTGATTTGCCACCTCTCGTTTCCATCTTTTGTTTTTGTCCCACTCTCTGACACCAATTTGTCACATCTTTTTTTCCCCTCACTTTATTTGCCGGCTTCTATACTATAACAGCGCGTGTCTAGCAAACACTCGAGCCTTCGGGAACGTTCGAGATACTCATTACGTGTTACCAGAGTCACGTGACTTCCGCTGTCGTAACAACTACATAGTGGGATTTGACTGTCACCTTTAGAGACACCCACAGCCTTAAAATATAGAGTACTTTTTTACGGAAATTAACCACAAAAATGAATCCTCAGATTCATAGTTTGAGCACGTTAACCACTAGGCCATGTCTAACCTGTTACTGGAAAAATTCATAGGCTTGCAGTAATTGGTTCACTAGCCACGTAAGAAATTCCTAGAGATTGTCTTCCCTTTTGCTAATGGAATGGGCATATGATGTGGGTAAAAAATGCACTTTGGGATATTTGACCCTGTTTGAGTAAGTATACAGTAAATTATCACATTAAATTAAAGTATGTTGTTTTTTTTATGCTTGATTGCTTTATCAATCTTAAGTCAGTGTTCTCTAATTATGGTTCTAAGGCTCTAATCATAGAACCTATATACCTAGAATCGCATATAGGACATCTGTTTTGATGATTTATTTGTTGAATTTCACATAAAGCTATTCGAGGGATATATGCACTACTCATTCTAATTTAGTAGTGATAGACTAGAGCCAAGGCTACTAGTCAACACCACCAATCACCAACTCTTGCGCTACTCTTACCAACAAAAACTGGGATTGATTATTATATTATAACACCCCCATGGCCGAAATAGTGGAATGTTGCGTAACACAAATGGACTACTTAAACAAAAAAACACACGTATTAGACAGCTCATGAATGGAAACAAAAGCTTTTGTGTGAATACTAAGACACTGGTGGGTGAAATTACCAGTAATAAATGTAATTTATAGACAATGGCCTGGATATCATATCAAATATTAACTTGACACACCCAGTGTTTTGTTTCATTATGATGGAATTATTTCAACCATGCAAATTGAAATATTTTATAAGCACACAGTTTTCTAAGTATTTTCTTCACATTGTTTCAATGCCGTTATAGATGCATGAAAAAGAAGGCTATAAGTAAACTATCATAGGTGGAAAGTAACACCCATTTGGTGAAACTTTGCAAGTCACACCTAGCTAGTAATAAACTTGTAAGAAATATGACACAAGCATTAGTGGATTCTGACAGCTAAAAGTACAGGTTGGCATCTGCTGACCAGAGACAGCTTATGTGTGCAAGAGTCAGTTTTGTAATCTAATCCCATTTGTTTCCTATTGGACCCAGGTTCTGTTTATGTAACAACCAGGTGGTAGTAGCAATAATATGTCTGGATCAAAGGATAAGCTATGTTGGCACAGTCACAGTAGTGACAATGAAGGGCAGTACAGGTATAACTATTAGCCAAGGACAGACCCAATGATAACTGGAGATGGAGAAGTTTATTGGTGTTAGGGATACATCTACAGCTGATTTAGGAAATAGGAACACATGAAGCCTGTATATATATGTTATTTGAAAAGTAATTGTTTTAACACTCAGTCTCTAAAGGTATTTTTAGAAAAGGATATGGTTGCAACTGTTATTTCAGTGGAACCTTAGGCAGAGTAGACATAGTAGGTTTAATGGACTGCAACTGTCTGTTGAATAAAAAGTTGGATGTTATGGTTTCTATACTAAGGCAAGACAACTACATTCTGGAGCCAGGCTAAATAGTTTGAGTATAATTTGGGTCAACTGATCTCTGGTGTTGCATTCAGAGCTGAATGGAGAGGACTGCCTTTAAGAAAGCCTCAGTATATAAGCCGAAATGTCGTCTCCCCTTTTTTCAACAAGAAGTTGCAATTAATTAAAGTTCTCAAACCTATTACAATTGTTTTAAATGGGCAGTTATGACCCTCTTTACAGCCTACAAATGTGGTTGATCATTTGACTAATCATAATTTATCTGAACTCACATTTTCTAGCAGTAG